TTACTACATACATATACTTTTATCATAACTATATGTAACGGTTTATGGTTATTTAAATATGATAAATTATGTTACGCTGAAATAAATTGCGGGAAAGTGCTTCACAGTTGCCAAATTGTTGGCAAAGATTTGCACAGAACGAGCGAGATTCAGCCGCAATCAAAGCCGCAGAGCTCGGCAAAGGTTCGTAAATTTGTGGCACGACTTTGGCGTGTGCGGCTGACACCCGCCACGCCCCCAGCTGCCCTGTTGCCCTGTCATCCTGTCGCCCCCATCTGCCTTAAGGGCGAACATTTTAAAATCGGCGAGCGACAAGCGAATTGAATTTAAATTTGCTGATTATGCGGCCCAAGCGCCACTTGGCCGGGTGCTCAAGTAGTGCGAATAATGGTTATATTGAGCCATAAAAGAAATTAAGTCAAACATTATTTTTAGCTGTAACCAGGCCCGTCCCTGGCCCTACACTGTGCTACATGTGCCGCGGGTCGAACCACTTTCACCACCTTTTTGAACTCGACGAGGTTTGGGCAACAATATTATTGATACATCGCCAGCTTCTCAATGGATTGTAAACGCATTCTGAAGAGTCAGGCGACACGGGGTGTCCTCGCTCTCTCTCCCCCTCTCCCTGTCTCTCTCTCTCTGCATATACAATATATATATCCTATCTATAGGCTATCTGCGACGCATATTACAATATTTCAACATACTTTCAAGTGTTGTTTGATGCGGCCCCATGCGCGGCTTACAGATGATTTTCTGGGATTTACGACGCCAGCTTTCAGCTAAAATTGAGAGAAATTTTACAATCTGCGCTGCGGGCGGGCGTCAGGAAGTTGTTAAATTACTTAGAAGCTGTGGCGTTGCTTCTCTCTTTTTATATGTAATTTAAAAATGATTATTACATAAGCTCCGAGGCAGCTTGGCGAAGGGGGAGGTCGAAATCAATGCATAAATTAGAATTTCGCCTGATCTTTATTGTTATTCAAATGCCGGCTCAAATGATAATGATTGACTGGCACTTGCGACGCCTAAGCTGTCAATAATTCAAACCATGTGCTGCCAGCTACTGTCCTTAATGCCCGCTCATTAAGTGAAAAGGGAGTATATTGGTTTGATAGAATATACCAACGATATGATGTGGAGAAGTTTGAAATATGTTATCGTACCCGCTGATGTAGAAGTTTGAATTGGAGTTGGAAGCATAATCAAGCCGAGCGCTGAGCGAGCGAGAGAAGCAAGGAAAGAGAGAAGAGGGAACCAATAGACAAAGCTCTTACGAATCTATTTTATTGCTCTAATTGCTACTCTTAACTAACAATATTAAACGTAGAGCCGCTGGCTGGGTTCCTAAAAATCATCTCTAGAATTCGATCAAAAAACATAATACACACACAATATAAGGAAACACAATTGCTTAAAGCAAGGACTTTACAGTTCTATAGTTGTATGATATTTCAACTGATCTATAACGCATCTAGCGACTCAAAGTGCATACATCTACCATAGCTGTTCCTACTCTAGAGACCCACAATGATACGAATAAACATAAAAAACATAAATCTTTACAAATTTATTTATTTTTCATCCTTAACGAGTATCAGGCAGTCGTGTACTTCTCGTTTTTCTTCCTTTACAACCGCCAAAGGTGGCTAATAAAAAAGAAAAATAAAATCGGAAGCGCGGAGATGCGGCCTGTCGATTTCCCAGGCGAGTTGCGCTAAGCCGCTGAAGTTGTGCAGCTGTAATTAGACTGAATTCGTATTCAAATTCAATTCATTTGCTCACTTTGGCAGTTGAAATGCCCTGTGTGGCAGGCAGGCAGGTAATCCTGTAAGAGCAACCTTGCTCTGCCAACTCTGACTTGCTTTAATTTGCCAACTCGGTAGTCGGGTCTGTGCATGATATTTTCATAGGGCACGCTGTTAATTTAATGTAAACTTTGTGGTCACGTGCCGGAACTGCTCCCAAATGTAACTAAAATCAAAGCAAACTACACACACACACACATGTGTGTGGTGTGTGTGTGCTTGTGTGCGTATGTGCGATTTACAAGTGTTTTGACATTTAAACGCGTTTTATGCTCAAAATGACCAGCAACAAAGGCTGCAGGCGCGGCACTCATATAGATCCCGGGTCTATTGCCAAGGGAGCTCTTACACTTGTTTCTTACAATTGGTGGTATTTTACCCTAACTGTGGGAACCGAACCCAAACCAACCCTGTGTGAACAATATAAATATGAAGAACTGTACCTACGTCGACATATCGTTCATGTAAATGGAGTTTGAATTGCATTTACATTGCTCGACAAATAAATAGAAAGTATGTTATTGTATATTATAATCCACATATTCGCATAATTGTAGTTTTTTAACATAAGTGAAATATATTATTATAATTATTATTTGCATATAGTTCAATAGAAATTGTATATTTGTCACACTTTTCGGAAGACTTTGTTCTGAAAGTCGAACTGTCCTATTGCCCTACTCTCTCTCTCTCTCTTTCTCTGCCTCTCTAAATGATTAATACTTTCAGCTAATGGAGTTGTAAAGAAAGTATAATTTTTTTGTGATGTCACAAGATCTTGAAAACCTAAGGGTATAGGCTATTGACGATCTATTTCCTGATTTATTGGTCTCGTATTGCATAGCAAATCTAGTTTAAGGTTAAATTAGAAATGAGTCTTATTGAAGCATATAAAACTATATTATATCACTTTTGTAGAATCACTTGAGCTGCATTTTTAGTCTCGATTTTGCTTGCAAAAATAAATATATCTACCTAACTACTAGATTGATAAAAATGTGTGTGGCCTGGCCCATGCAAATGGCCAAAATCGGTAAAGCCAAGATCTTGTGAAAGTTAATGTCAAAGTTGCAGATATTTCTATATCAATAGAAATTGCTTAACTGATAATCGACTTGGCTAGTAGCAGTCGCTTTTATACCCAAAAGCCTAAAGCGTGAATTTGATTCAATGGGGATTTTATTTAGTCAAATATTGCAGTGTTTAAATAAATCATGTTTGATGAGTCATGGGAACAGTCGGTTTGAGCCCTGGGATAATTTTGGTTAGAGAGTTTATTAGAACTCAAATTTTATTAAAATTGAGCTAAAATTGAATACTTTAAACTGAATCATTGGCGTATTTCCTGGAATTTACTCTTTGAACGAAACCCCGTTTAGTTTAAAAAGTAGTTCATTTTAATTAGTAATCATTGCGAAACAGGTTCAATGGCAAAACTAAAGTGACTAATATAATTATCTTAATATTAAAATCAAGTTTACTAAAAACAATTCTTTGAACTGAACAGCAAAGTTTTAGTTTTTGGAATATTTCTCTTCTTTTTATGAAACTCAAAACTCCAACTGATAAATGACAAAGACCTGGTAGTGTATGTATTTCAATTTCGGAGTATGTAGATAGAGATGTGGTCAAGTGGCTACTACAGTTAATAATAAATCAATATTAATTTWGTTCTTTTTGTTCAATGTATTCACAGTATTTATTATAAAAATCTTACAATTATGAAATAAATATATTTTAAAAATAAATAATAATAGATTCTATATACATTTAGCCCCTGGCTGTGGCCGCAACGTTAGCTGCCTGTTGAGCTATGCCCAAGACCTGAATGGTGGCATCTCGTGTGTGCTGGCCAATGCGTTCCTATAAGGATAAATCGTTAATAATTAATGTGATTCAATTTGATTATAGTTGTTGGAGACTTACAATTTTCTTGCCGATTTTCTTCAGCCAACCAGCCTCAGATTGACCCATGCTAATTGCCAGGATGAGGGCAAGAAAAATGAAGATCTTGTAGAAGTTCATGTTGAGGCTGTATTATTGAAGTATATTCCTTGGAAGTTGGCGGATAAGACTTGAGGAGGTTGAGTAGCTGTAGCTGCTGCTGCTGATGCTGAGTGACTGATGAATTGTGTAGTCAGCCAGCATTGCTTTTATAGCTCGTATGGGTCGACGCCACTGATAAGCCTCGCATCTCAAAAAAGAACGGCGGCTGAACGCACGAGGGGATTTTGTTTGGCGAAAAAGCACACGGGTGCCGCCATGGGAACATGCGATGGTATGGTATGCTATATTTAAGAAATATATCTATGAATCATTCAAGCAATAAAGTGTTTTTTAGTGTTTTTAAATGTGTAAAAGTATATCCCATCAAACAAATATATTTAGAAAGACTATTAGTAAGTTAACAACTCTTGCTCTCTCTCTCTTTTTCTCTCTCTCTCTCTCTCTCTCTCTCTCTCTCTCTGACTCTGTCTTTCTCGCTTTCACTGATTCTGTCTCTCTTTCTTTCTCTCTATGTCTATCTCTCTCACTCACTCTCTGTCTCTCTCTTCTCAATTAGCCAATCGGAATTGAACTCTCGGGTAGCTGCACGGCCGCACTCATAACATAGCAAAATAGAGTCAACTCGAATTGAGACTAGATACCTATAATACAAATACAAATACAAATAATTAAGAGAAAAAAAAATAATCAAATTACAAATTTATAGTTTGTAACTAATTTTGTTTTTATGTTTTTCTAAATTTGAATAAAATATCTTTGGTGGTAATATCATTGATTACGCATATATATATTGTGTATATATTAATATACATATATAAGTATACATGAATGTAAATATATATAACACGTGCGAGGAAAGTGATGTTAAAACTAGATTCAAATGCAACTACATTAGTTGCCCTATAAAAGGCGACGAGATGCTGAGCAACGCAAGCTCATCCCTATAGTAAGCATGGAATTATTGGAATGATCATGCCCTAGAATGCGTTGAGCTACGCTTAGTTGAGTTTGTCTAGGAAGCTCAAGGCCGCAATCTGAGCAAATAAATACTTAATAAATGCCTTTTGGAAGGTGCTACAGAGAAAATTAAAAGTCATGGGTTGTTTATTTTTGATAAATATATTTATAATATTTATTATTTAAAGTCTTAGAATAATAAAATAAATAAGTATTTTTAATGAATAATAAGAAATGTTGCATTAACCCCTGGCTGTGGCAGCCACGTTCGCAGCCTGCTGGGCAATGCCCAAGCCCTGGATGGTGGCATCTCGTGTGTGCTGGCCAATGCGTTCCTAGAAGGATACATCTCTAATAAGTAATGCGTTTTAATTTGATTTTAGTTGTTGGAGACTTACAATTTTCTTGCCAATCTTCTTCAGCCAACCAGCCTCAGATTGACCCATGCTGATGGCCAGGATGAGGGCAACGAAGATGAAGATCTTGTAGAAGTTCATGTTGAAGTTGTATTATTGAAGTATATTCCTTGGAATCTGGGAGTTAAGACTTGAGTTTTAGCTGCTGCTGCTGCTGCTGCTGCTGCTGATGCCAAATGACTGATGAATTGGGTAGTCAGCCAGCGTCGCTTTTATAGCTCGCGTTATCTATACAGGCGCTGATAAGCTCTTAGGTAAAACACGGAACAGTGAATGGATGGATGAATTAGGGGATTTTTCGAGGTGAAAAACACCCGCTTTAAATCCAATTCTGTTGTCACAAGCTCAATATGTACGCTTCGTATGATATTTATGTATTTGTAAATCATTTAAACAAAAAGTATTATTATATTGTCAAATAAATCTGTATTCTATACAAGCTGTAAATTCAGATTGATTATTGTGAAGTCAAAAATATATTAAGTAATTCGCAAATTGAAAACATTTTCAATCAAAGTTCAGTCTCGTGACTTTATACAATATGCTTTATGAGAAGTTAAAGTGCTCGAGTGGAGTTAAGCAAATATAAATATTTTAGTTCACCATTCGATTTTCTTCATATCCACTTTCAATTATCGTATTTAGATAATTTATACAGACCATACAGAGGGAGGTACTAAAATTAATAACAAGCTTACTTTTCTTTTTATTGTGTTTCTACAGTGTTTATTAATATGCTCTTAATGTATCGGGTTGTCCATTTCTTGCTTTAATTGCACTGACCACTTTATTGGTTACCTCTTTAACCTTTTCCCAGCCAGCGACGTAGATATTTTTAATAGCCTGTCCAATATTTGTCTATATGAATAAACCATTGATAAGTAAGTTGTTCTGATTTGATTTAAGCTATTGACTACCTACAATTGCCGTGACAGTCGTACCAGCAAGACCAGCCTCGGATTGTCTCATGCTGATGGCCAGGATGAGGGCAACAATGATGAAGATTTTGTAGAACTTCATATTGGTCTTTGGCGTACAGAAATATTCCGTTTACTGTGAAAGTTGCGACTTGAACTAGACACAAGTCATAATATATGTGCCTTAAGAAATAAAACCTTTGTCTTCAGTTATGGTGCTATGAATACCTATTTTGACCGTCAAATGTGACTAATTACTAGTAATCCAATCAAATTTATCCGAGTATGGCATAACGAAGTAGACCGAAAATTCTCAATTCACATTCTCGCTTTCTCTCTCAATCTATTGATCGAACTGGCATAGGAATACGCTGTGATCGGGTTACAACCAAACATGTTCGTCATGTCTTCAAGAGAACGGGGAATAAAAATATTATAAACAGAAAAATCAGTTTTTGCAATTTGACGTCTTAAAATTGCATACAAAAGGCATTTTTATAATAATTAATAATGGATTCGGAATAGGTTTAACTTTTGACAACTTCTTTCGTAACTCGCTGAACAATGCCGCAGCCTTGGAGGGTGGCATCTTGATGTGTTGACTAGCACGTTGCTTTCAAGTTAGAAGGTATATGTATATTCGTAAGTAATTTGCTTTGATTTGATTTTGTTTCTTAGAGGCTTACTATTTTCTTGCCAAGATCATCCAGCCAATTAGCTTTGGATTGACCCACGCTGAGGGCCAGGATTAGGGCAACGAAGATGAAGACCTTCAAGTTCATAATTAATTTTCCGTGGAATGTAAATGTTGAGTTGAGCTAGAGTTATAGATGATGATACTGAGCCAATGACCAAAAAATAAGTCCCAATGCATGTATGTATAATTTAAGATATATATTATTTGCTTGCAGCTAGAGATTCAACTAACGCTATTTAGAACGCCAAATGTGACTAATTAATGCAAAGTAAAATCAAATTTATTCAAATTTGTACGCTAAATTCAAGCAGGGCTTGGACAAGTAGGTTGTCCAATAGAATTACTAGGTATTTCTACATTGTCTCCTTCTCTCTTACATAATCGAATACAAACAGTTTTGTTTGAACTGAATATTCATGTAATTGTAGCTGTGAGATTTTGGAAATTAGATGTTGAAGAAATTACATAAATTTTTAATTTTTTAAATAATGTCTTTAAAGTGTTTATGAAAGTCAATGATGGAAAACAATCAGTTAAAAGATGTAACCCCATTAAAAACGCCAATTGTGACGAATTACTATAAAGCAAAAACATATTAATCGAATTAATAATGTCAACCCTGACATTACAAAGCGTTGTCAAATAGTTTATCCAACGGGAATTCTTCACATTCTTCTCACTTAATTAGCCAGACTGATCGAACTGTCATACAAATGCGCTTCGATCGGGTAACCACCAAACATGTTTGTCATGCCTGAAAGGCAGCTCAGAATTGGGTGAAATACAAATTTCTACTATAAATTGAGTTTATGAATGAAATTTGTTCGCGGGTTTTTCAGAGAATACAATTCTTCAATTCTGACTACAACTGGGGAATACTTGTATGTAGTATATATGAATATGTCGCTGATCCGATCGGGCTGCCGATAATGACAATGACGGATCACTTGAGCGAGCAAACACGCACGTCACAAAGAATCAGTAAAAGCAGGTTTTTTGTTTGAGCTTGCCTTTTGATTTTGCTTTTGTTATATTCGCTGATTGCTGTCGTTGTTGTTGTTGTTGTTGGTGTTTCTCTCTTTGTCGGCGTTGCCATCGCGCTTTATCAGCGCATCTGCCCCAGTTATCAGCTAAATACGCTGATTGCTCTGCTCTTCTGTGTTTTCTAGAAGAACTGTGTAATGTGAATCCCAAGTGGTTCGATTGACTGAAAAATTCCCCGCAGCAGCCTACAGATAGCACCTAAGTAAACCTCTGCAAGTTCACTACAAAAAGCTAGCTGATTAATATGGACCTGAAAATGTGCAAACATACTAAACAATATTTGTATGTATATGAAGTATATCCATGTTTATACACATGTTAGGCACCACTTAATTGCAGCTACAGTCTGTACTTGTATAAGAAGGTCACATTCGCTTGTTTTGTATGCACTCGAATTTAGTTGATTTAGACGTTAGAGTGCATTTTATGAATAGTATATCTGAAAGTTTATGGATCTTCCCTATGACTAAGCCTAATTTAGGTTTTACTATGCCAATTGCAACTACTTTATGATATTTTGTTAACTCATCTTCTCATCTTGTATTATCACTTAACTGCAGCTTTATAGACTATTAAGTGGACTGGCTTGATTATACTAGTTCTAGTCAGTTTCACTGCAAAATTTTCTTATCAGTTAGCAAGAGAAATGCCGTTTTATTATATGTATATTTTTACGAATATTATATGGACTAAAAATAATATAGATTTTAATTTTAAATCAACATGAATATTATTGTTGTTTTTGTGTTCTCTCTCTTACACAATTTGACAAAAATATGCGACTCGACTACGGTATAATATTGAAAGCTCTTCTTCATTAGTTTTCGAATCTATAACATTACTTGAATCTATAAAAGCGTTTCATTTTGTTTCATCTTACAATTTTAATTTCAGTTAATTAAAAATGGCAAAAAAAAAAATTGCTTTTCTTTTTATTTGTCTTTATCAATTTGGCTTACATTTAAGCTGGTTTAAAATTATGTAAGCTCATTTAAAAGTATGTAAATTTGTGTAAAGCTTTTAATATGATTAGAGAAGAGTTTTCAGTTTTCAGTAAATATATTATAAAACGAATCAACGAGCTGGAAATAAAATAGACTCCTTTGATTTCCAGGGATTTCAATTTTTATCCTAACTGGTATAACTTCATATCTCATTGTTTCTCTGTATATCTCATTTTCATACCTGTGCCTAACGCCCATTATTTTCAGCAGGCCACAAACAACAAACAACATCTGCAACTTTCATATCACCCTCTCCCATTTTATGCAAATAGCTGGCAACAAATAAAAACCAGTTGCATTTATTGTCTTATTTACGCTTCTCTGGGCGCTCAAAGTCTTTAACAGGGACATGAACAGCATTAAGTCAAACTGTGCAGCTGGATCGCAGTCAGAGTCGCAGTCGGAGTCGGAGTCGGAGTCGGAGTCGATGTTTTCTCTAGGCTTTGGGGCTGTTATGACAGAGGCAGAGCTCTGGATGTTGCTTGTGCCTGTCACTCAGCGGTTAATTCGAGCGATTTTATTTACATTTTAGCAACAGGCCGCAGCAGAAACAGCAGAAAACCGGAAAGGAATGGAAGGGAATGGAAAGGGGAGAAGGCTGCAGAGAGAGCCGCGTTGCCTTGGAAATGCTTTGAGTTTGATTTTGGCGAAAGTCAAGACCGAAGCGTTTTTACTTGTTAAGGAAATTAGTGGCATATCCTGACAGTGGGCACATCCTGCTGCTGATGTCCCATGCTGCCCACTGTTGACTTAATTCATTGTCCTTGTCTTTGACTCGGTGGTTGATATAGTACAAGAGCCGCTACCACGCCCACACAACCAATAATACTAATGGCACACGAGTACAGTTGCATCACTAGCAAACAGAAGAATTCCAATTGGATAAAAACACATAGCCGCAGCTGAGCAAACAACGCGATTCTTATTAGAAGTTCGCATATAAGTAAATAAATAAGTTGAATATGAATACGATTTCTATTACTAATTATTAGAAGCTTTCACAGCTTCAGGTAAAAGTCAAATTAAAATTTCCACTAGATTTTTACAATTTTAATTTTCATTATTATTGAATTATTAACTTGGGCCTAATGTGAATGCACTAGGTTAGGGAATTGACATTAATGAAGAACTGATCAAATAGTATTACTATGATTATTGTTATAATTATAATTGATTATATATTTAATAGCTGCCTTAGTAAGGCTACAAATTAGAACATTTACATCCCCAAGAATTTAATATAATTAGGCAACAAGCTCTAGTTCAATATTTTTTTCAATAGCGCACAGCTTTGAAATTTGTATACCTCCTCTTTCTTTCWTTTGTTTTTCTTTAATTCTGGAATATTTATCTGCGGGAACACAAATACTGAACACACCTCACATTGCTCTGTTTACCAAACAAATTCCCCGCCGTATCGTCGCGTGGAGAGAGTTATCAGCCACGTCGACCCAAACGAGCTATAAAAGTAACTCCGGCTGGCTGCACATTCCATCAGTCACTCAGCATCAACAGCAAAAGCTACAGCTTTCTAGCTCAAAACTCCTTTAAAATTCTATAGAATATTTCTATATATCAAGCTCCATTATGAACTTCTACAAGGTCTTCATTTTCGTTGCCCTCATCCTGGCCATCAGCCTTGGTCAATCCGAGGCTGGTTGGCTGAAGAAGATTGGCAAGAGAATTGTAAGTTTCTAATAACTAAAATTAACTTTCGACATATTATTTATTAACGATTTATCCTTATAGGAACGCATTGGCCAGAACACACGAGATGCCACCATCCAGGGCTTGGGCATAGCTCAACAGGCAGCAAACGTTGCGGCCACAGCCAGGGGCTAAACCTATATAAAATTTCAGATTATTGAGTTTAAAAATATATTTTCATTAACTTTTAAGACTTTTATAAATAAATATTTAAAGTACAAACAGAAACCACAGATATTATTATTAACTGTAGTACCTACTTGATCTCCTCTCTTTATACATATTATGCAATACACATGTTCCATACAGCTGGGCTGTCTTCTGATAAGCTGTGCATCGACTTTAATTTAAATATTTAAAAGAGTATTTGACGTAGATTGGAAAGTAAACCAAAAGTATTCCATGGCAAATACATTTTTTTAATTGCATGGATATTTACAGTACAGCTAGAGAACACATTTCGTACATTGTTTATTTGCTCAACTGGAACACTTGAGCTTTCTATAAAGATTGAATTTACCTTAGTTTATTCACCTAGCTCAGTCTATGGCTCTTAGCTGGGGCAGAGCCCAAAACACAGCTAACTGAAGTAACAAAGCGTTAATTTGGCTTATCGAAATCCCCCTTCTATTCGGATCTTCTAGTACTGCGGCTGGCATGCTCCAGTGTCAACTTAATTGTAACCTCCTTCATTATCCTAACGTGTTTTAACCCTAACTTTATATATTATTCATAACTATACACATTTGATACAAATATACACTTTTATAGAATATTAGATTTTAATGAGATGAAATGATGACTGCTAACTGCTTAATGAATCACCATACATTGATTAACTTCAGCAAATTTTAAGAAAGAAAGAGATTTATAATTGAATTTGCTTTACAAATTTTTATTTCTTTCAGTTATGACGTTTCATTATGTTATTTTGGTAAATATGTTTGGTGAATACCCGATAAAAACAATTGATATGACCGTTCAATCAGAGGGGCTAATAGGGAGAGAGGGAAAGAAAGATAACGGAAGAGATGAAGGGAGAGAGAATGCGGAAACACCCGAATTTTTGGCAACGTTAATTGATTATTTTTTTTAATGTTTACAATTTTTGAATACCTTAACATTTTTCTAGCCAACAAAAAAACTCTCTGATGACAGTTTATTATTTAAAAAAAAAAATGTTTTTTTGATAATATAAATTTTTTTAATGTATATAAAAATACTTAATTGTTTCTATGAATCATGCATACATTTCTTATACCTAGTCTTTCCTACCATATACGCCTTGTTACAAACAGACTTGGATTTTGTCAGTGTGCTTTTTCACCAAACAAAATCCCCTAGAGCGTTCAGTCGTTGTTCTTTTTGAGATGCGAGGCTTATCAGCGACATCGACCCATACGAGCTATAAAAGCGACGTTGGCTGGCTACTCAATTCATCAGTCACTCAGCATCAACCGCAGCAGCTCAACCTACTCGCGTCTTAACACCCAGATTCCAAAGAATATAACCCCATCATGAACTTCTACAAGGTTTTCATCTTTGTTGCTCTTATCCTGGCCATCAGCATGGGTCAATCCGAGGCTGGTTGGCTGAAGAAGATTGGCAAGAAAATTGTAAGTCTCCAACAACTAATATCAAATCAAAACAAAATACTTATTAAAATATCTGTCCTTGAAGGAACGTGTTGGCCAGCACACACGAGATGCCACCATCCAGGGCTTGGGCATTGCTCAGCAGGCTGCGAACGTAGCCGCCACAGCCAGAGGCTAAACCTATACAGGATTCCTTATTTATTGTAGAAATTATGTACATTATTTATTACATTATCATAAGACATTTTTAATAAACTTATAATAAAATAAAAAAATGATAACTGATAATTTATTTATCATGGTTATGAGCTATACTCCTAGATCCTAGACTGGTTGGCTATCAAGTAAGATAATATTAGTAAAAATATTATTAATATAATATTAATTTAAGCAAATAATAATGTAGTAAAAATAATATTTGATTGCACCTTCATATACTTATATTACTTAGTTATTAGAGAAATTTTTTATTAAGTGGATTATCTTCTTTCGAAAACATTCGCTTGATAAACTTTACAAGAGAATTGAAAGAGTCTTGTAGGAAGTGCGCTTCGGATTGATCCATGTAGATGAGCAGCAAGAAGGAGCACAGGCCGAGAATAGTGACGTAGTTCATTTTGCGCTATGGCTGGCGTTGCTCCTTATATTGAATTGAAATTTATTTATATAAAAGCCCAATTCACATCAAGTTTTCAGTTCAATAGCCTTTTGAAAAGTATGTAGGCTTCAAAATATCTTGGATTTTTATAGCAAAAATTTAGTTAGAGTCCAGCAACTTTATTTGATAAACAGACAACAGCTGCCTTAACTAAAAAATGTTTAGATAAGCATATAAAATGCCATTTAATTGACAGCTGTTTTTTTTTTTAATTTTAATAAGAAGAATGCATTCAAATTAATACTTATTAAGATTGTAAAATTTAACTTAAACTAACAATTTCATATACATTTATATTTTTCCATTCATTACATTACATTTGCTTTTGTTAATTTCAAAAATATTTATTTAAATACATAAATTCAAAAGCAATTTAATTGCACGAGAGCGCCATCTAGTGGGCTTGCGCACAACCTAACCGTTTGCCGCTAACTTCACGTGGAAAGCAACCCTGCGCATCGATGACGTTTTGCACGGTTCAGTGTCAAATCGACGACTTCCTTTCCTGTCAAAATAGTCGACAAAGGTTGGTGTACATTTTCTGTGAATGCTTTGAAAAAGCCGAAAAACCGGCACAACATGCAATGCAAAGCCAAAAATGAATGGTAAAACGAGTCAATCAAATGCTGCCAACGAAATTGTCCTAAGTTGCTAAGTGAAAACCATTGAAACCAAGTCGATGCTCAGTGATTTGCTAAAAGGTTAAAGGCAACTGAGTGAAATGAACAATTCAAATATTGGCTGGGCAGCGGTCTTGTTGTGTGTTGCCGTTTTTCGCAGCAGTGAATCATAATAATATACTAAACGTCTCTTTTCATTCACTTACAGATGGCCATCGGCTCTAAAATTATTAAGCCCGGCGGCGCGGACCCCGATGATTTCGAGAAGTCGATCGCCCAGGCGCTCGTTGAGTTGGAGGCCAACAGCGACCTGAAGCCCTACCTGCGCGATTTGCACATTACTCGTGCACGCGAGATTGAGTTTGGCAGCAAGAAGGTGAGTTTTGCTTGTTTGTGTTTATATTTTAAATAATTGTTTTCTCTTCCATGTGTGTGTGTGTAGGCCGTCATCATCTACGTGCCCATTCCACAGCAGAAGGTGTTCCAAAAGATCCAGATCATTTTGGTGCGCGAACTGGAGAAGAAATTCTCTGGCAAGCATGTTGTCGTCATTGGCGAGCGCAAGATTCTGCCCAAGCCAACGCGCAAGGCGCGCAACCCACTGAAACAGAAGCGTCCACGCTCGCGCACTCTGACCGCTGTGTACGATGCCATTCTGGAGGATCTGGTATTCCCCGCCGAGATCGTTGGCAAGCGCGTCCGCGTCAAGCTGGACGGCTCTCAGCTGGTCAAGGTGCACCTGGACAAGAACCAGCAGACCACCATCGAACACAAAGTAAGTATTTTACTGATTGATAAGTCAGTTCAAATTAAACATTATTTGTATGTTGTCCCCGTGTTATTTGCGGCACGTTCATCAAGCGCCGTGATTGTCAAAGGGGACACATATCAAATTAGCCAATAACTCGTTATTGTGCTCCATTCACGCATTCCTGCGGGCGCACATCTCCATATATTGGCCACATTTTCAGTATTGTTTACATTACCGTTCTTGTGTTATTCGCTGAATTAGCATCATCATTCAGTGATTGTCAAACAGAACGCATAGCAAATTCCAATTATCCACGTTGTTGGGCCTATCTACTCAAGGGCTTTTGCAATACTAATCACTGGATACAGCTTACTCCTAAAGTATATTTTCTATGTATATTGCTTTATGTCCTTTCTTGTAATTTTGTTTACCTGTGATTTAAGCTGTTTATCGCTATCGACCTCCCTCCCGTTCTTGTGTTATTCGCTGAATTAGCATTATCATTCAGTGATTGTCAAACAGAACGCATAGCAAATTCCAATTATCCACGTTGTTGAGCCTATCTACCCAAAGGCTTTTGCAATACTAATCACTGGATACAGCTTACTCCTAAACTATATATTCTATGTATAACAATATACATATGTCCCTTCTTGTAATTTCCCCCCGCCTATTTGCCTCCCGAGCGCCGTTTTTGTGCCTGGTGCCTCGGGACTTCCTATTTCGGCGGCAAATCAAAAAGACCTGCTCAGCGCGCCATTGCTGCAATGCATCATGCTGTAGCAATATGCTGAACCGTTTAACACTTGTCTAATGCTCTCAGCTATAAATGTTTTATCTATAAAAATGATTGCTAATCTCTATTCGCTCTCTCTTTCTCAGGTTGATACCTTCACATCGGTCTACAAGAAGCTTACCGGCCGCGATGTTACCTTCGAATTCCCAGACAACTACCTGAATGTCTAAGAGTGTTTTCCACTGGCAATGTCGTCGTCGCCGTTGCGCTGTCGTTTAGTTTCAACAAAAGGAATTCTGTCGTACAGAAGTTATTTTTAACATGCAAATGAGCTGAAAGAACGCGCGACGTCAACTAAATAAAATCAGTAAACATTTTTAAAAATTTAATTAATGAATTGATATTTTGATTTTTGTTCAACTGGATACGATTGAACGTGTATTAGATTACTTGCTGAAATATGAATTGTAATTTAATCTTGTATGGAGAGAGGGTGTCATTATAAGGATAATTTATAATTCCTATTTTAATGTACACACATCAAAGTGGGCGTGGCGTACATGTGTGATTAAAGGACGTTCGATAAATTAGAAGCCAACGCCTTGTGTGAAATATCCTTTTGAACGGCGCTCGCGCATTTCCCCAGGCGGCGTTGCATATGTCTGACTGGGAGGCCTTTAATTAAAAAGTGTATTTATTGGATTCACTTTGTAACTGTTCTCGTTTGATATATACCCCAGCCAACGCACACACACGCATACACGCATTTGTGGCAGCGATGCGTGAGATCCTTTTGCCACACATGTGCGAAAAGGGGTTAATCCTGCGGCCGACTAGGTCTACTTTTCCACTCGACTCGGCTCATTTACATGCGCCGCTTGTAATTACAGGACATGTGGGAATCGGTAATAAATATTTGGAATAATCACGTGTGTGACATCCAAGAGAAGGGGTTCTTGTGGGAGGGGTGCGCCTGGCGGTTTGGTGGGTGTGGTGGAAGTGGGAGTTGACTGCTTACTACAAGCAAAAGGATTAATGATTTATGCCAAGACAATGAATCCAAAAAAGTGTACTAAATACCAACATTTATGATTAAACGCAGCTGGATGTTGTATGTTAATTAAATTCACTTTTGTTTTTAACCCTTTTTGTGAGGGACTACAACATCTATAACTGACTTTAGTGATTGTTAAATAATATAATTATGTAAGTACTGGGAAATGAGCGAGAAATACTTCTAACAGTATTTGTAATGTAGAACAGCATCAAAATGTCATATTTTCTACTAAATATTAGATTTCTCTCATTATTAGTAGTTACTAAATTTCCTGTAAGGCCCAAAAGAGCTTTGTAAGCAAATCTGAATTTTAAGAAATTTAAGATATCAGTATTTGTCTCCCAGACAATGTAGTTGTTTTTTTTTTTTTTTTAATACATATATTTGCATATGAGTTCTCTCTGCGTTTTTGTAGTAACTGTAAACTACCTTAAGTAACTTTCATTTAGAAATTTTTAAATTATTAAAATAGTGTTTTAAAATCCTTGTAAACCACTTCCTTAAGTTATTATATAGTTATTTAAGATTGTCAAGATATTAAAATTAAATTATTGTTTTAAAGCTATTTACATTTACTTTATTATATCTTATATGTTCTGTATATATTATCCATGATACACTATTATTTGCGAGCAGAGATATTGGTTTGTAGCTTGACTCGCCTTAAATTCGCCATTGCCTGCATTGGTGTGTGTCTTTGCTAACCCAACCAAACACACCACATTGGTGGTTGCTTCTACTTAGGCAAATAGCAGGGATAACAACCACAATAGAACTACTAGAATTATTTGTTTTTTAAATGTTTGGACTGGGAAGCACTATGTCTCAATTTGAAATTCTTTGATATTTCTTTATGCAAGGCAATATAGTAAATTTATCATAATTGTAATATAAGATCGATCGACAAGTTGTATGCTCAATATAAATATTTACATCTGCAATTTTAGCGCATAGCTTTAATTTCGAACATTTTTCGTATCTCCGGGTTACAGACAGAAAGACTGGAGACCACAACAAACCGAATTGATTGCCATTTTGATATTCGATTTCAGTCAACATCAAATCACGCAATACAACAATTTTGAAATGAATTACAGCAAATGCCGCGCATTAATGTTCTAGCTAAAATGGACAGTGGAGCCACGCTTGAACGAACCAATTGGATTAAAGCTTGTTGTGTGAATCAGAGCTGTGGTAAAAATTTGGGAAAATTTGTGTATTGATCCAAAAAAAAAGAGGAAAACAAATTTAAAGAACATTTTATAGTTTTACATATGTTTAACTAATTAAATTTTTTATATAGTAGAATCCGGCTATAACTACTTCGCTTAAAGCGTCTGTGCGGTTATAGCGACGA